AAAGGCCTTCCCAGTGTCTGACACCGTCTGTCGGTGCTCAGTTAACACGGGAGGAAGGAACTGAAGCCGGGCCTCCACTCCCCAGAAGGGCCTTACTTAAGGCCGTAAGTATTGGAGTTTGGGTAGAATGGTGTCCCCAAGGCAGCTAGGGATGTCTCAGGTGTGGCAGATGGGGAGGTAGAAGGGAGACCGAGTCTGGGGTAGGGACGGCCGACTGTTACAGCATCAGTGAGGGAGTGGCATGGAGCGTGGTTCCACGGGACGGCCGACTGTTACCGCATCAGTGAGGGAGTGGCACGGAGCGTGGTTCCACGGGATGGCCGACTGTTACCGCGTCAGTGAGGGAGTGGCACGGAGCCTGGTTCCACGGGACAGGCTGCGTCTCCCTGTGGAGGCCTGTGCTGCTTCTATAGTGTCAATATTTGTGCTGTAGAAAAGGGAAAAGAGAAAGGAAAGTTCTGATCCCTGGCTCCAGTGGTGCCCTGGGAGTGGCCCAAGCTCCCTCAGGCGACAGCGGAACAGCTAACTGCCACGTGGCCTGCACGGGAGGTGGGAGCAATGGGCACCTGCAGCCGTGTCCCCGTGGGTCCCCAGAGCAACAGCATGTAGACTGTGTGAACAGTCGTGGACACACTGCTTGTGTGCATGTGTGTGTGTGTGTGTGGACACGTGCATACACAGGGGCTTCCCAGGGATGCAGAAGTCAGACTAAAGTACCAGTTCATGCAGTGCAAAGTCTTTGAAATCACGCACACATTTTCCATGGGACAGACTCTCTGTGACCATCCCTCGCCCCTGGTGTGTGTGCATGTGCATACATACACACACGTGTACCTGGTGGCAGATCACTGGGGCATGAGGAGGTGACCCACAGGTGGAAGGACTGGCCAGGGGGACACTGGGCAGGTGTGACCCTGTGCCCTCCAGAGGCAGGAACCCTGGGGAAGCCTCGTTGGTCTCTTGGGCCTTGGCCTGGGTGGAGGCCGGCTGTTCAAGGCTGGTCTTCGTGATCTGGCGGCTGTCCAGGTCTCACCTCCAAGACTCCTGCGCTCCGCTGGCACTGGCCCGGCACCAGCCAGCGCGTGGCCTGGTCCCGGGGGCCGGTGGAGCCCAGCCTTGGGCGCAGCCACGGCATAACGGGCCAGGGCCTCCAGTCGCCCTCGCACGAGTGCTGCTGGCAGGGGCTCACTGTCCGGGAGCTCCTTCAGGCCGCCGCAGGTTCGATTGTGAGGCTGGGGAGGACTCGGCCGGGAGGTGGGCTCCTCCTGCAGCCCCGCCGCAGCCTGGTACTCTATCAGTGGCTGTGGGGGGCTGCTCGGATCGCCTGTTTGTATTCTGGGTAGGAAAGAGAAGGAAAACATGCGTTTGAAGTCTCGTAATTACCTATGTGAAATTATTAGGCAATTTGGAAAATTGTTAGTGGAACCTGCCTGTCATGTGCAAAAATTATTTAGATTTTGATGCACAGGGTTTAATGTAAGAATGATTGCAGCGAGACCGCATTATTAACGTCTCCCTTAATTGTTCAAGCACATTTGAATTTGTTGAAAGAGATATGCTTGTAAGTAGAGCCGCTGCTGAGAAGAAAACGTTTGCTGGGCTGTGGCAGGGTTCGTTTTGCAAGGCTTGCTGTGAATGGTAATGCTGTCAGGACAGGCACTGGGGCCCGCAGGTGTGTGCTAGCTAACGTGCCGGACTCCCACTTGGTGTATGACAGTTCGAGTCCCGGACCTTGGGGCTTAGAGATCATGACGGGGGACTGCACAAGTGTGCCCAAGATCCCAGGAAGAGCATGGAGGACGAGGGGTTGGGCATGGCATGCCCAGGGGTGGTTTCCCGCTTTCCCTCTCTGTCCCTCTCTTCTGAGCACACCAGCCCAATGGCAAACATCTTGAAAAAAACAAAATAAAACAAAAAATTAATACTGCTCTCCTTCTTACAGTCGGAGCTAACAAAACCCGAGCTGTTTTTCGCAGATGGCATGTGGGCCGTGGGTGCGCACAGGACGCTGTTGGCCTGCCTGTGGGGTCACCACCACAGTCCTGCTCACTCCCATTCCAGTGCACACAGCTGTCTGTCCCGGGGACTGTCAGTGCGGCAGTGATGCGCTCTGTTGAAGACTGTGAACGTGTTGCCTTCCGGTCCATCACACAGGGTTTCCTGCACATTTCCAGAGAGCCAGTCGATTCTCCGTCACGTCTTCCCAGGGTGGACAGTTACCACATTGGCCTTAAGTGCAGTTAACTCGCGTTAATCTGTTACGGATCAGTGCTCGGCAGAATTTTAGGAATTGGAAAACACACCTTTTCAAACATAGTCCAAGCTCTTCAGTGGGGCAGGTGTCACTGAGCCGCGTGGGGACGCCTGGCTGCCCTGGTGTGCCCTGGCTCAGAACTGCCTCAGGGAGGCTGGCCCCAGCTCCATAGCACCACGTAGACCACCCCTCCCGCCTGGCAGGACCATGGCACTGCGGATAGGCCCGTCCCCCTGTGTAGCTCGGCCTGGCCGGGGCACCGTGGGCGTTGTGTGGAGTGCCAGTTGCAGGTCAGCAGATGTGTGAGCGCGTGGTAGCCTGAGGACAGGGCGAGGGGACACCAGAGGGCCAGCTGTGCCAACGGAGGTGAGCACAGGCCCTGTGGGCCCCGTGGACGAGCCGCCCTGCCCTGTGCTTGGGGGACCCAGGGACCCCGCCTGGGCCTCCGCCTGGGTCTGTTCCGGGCTCCCTGCCAAGCGCCTCCGACAGCCCGCCCCGTGCTCTGCCTTGTCCCTGGGTCCCGAGGACAGCCTATTCTCCCACTCTTCAACAGCTCTGCGTGTGTCTCCTGGAGGGCTGGGGAGGGTAGGAGAGCCAGGCCACGTCCCCCGACTCTGTCCTTGCTTGTCCGTGCGAGTTTCCACACAGGCCTTCCACCCGCAGGCTTCTGTGCCTGAAACAGAGTCGGCAACCTGCCGGGGCTTCTCCAGGTGGCTGAATGGGGCTGTCTTAACCCGGGCCGCAGGGAACCAGTGCTTGGTCAGGGGGCTCCAGTACTGCCCGGCCAAGGATCGAGGCAGACCTCGATTCGACTTCTCAGACGCAGACCAGGCTCTGCCCAGTTCGGCTTCCAGTCATCCATTTCTGTCCCCCCAACATCATAAAATACACTTACAAAATCCCCTGCGCTTATTCCCATAGTGACGCTCTGCTCACGGATCCCGTCACATCAGTCATCAGCTCCTGATTCTCTGCGCACATAGCAGGTTGGCTCGGCACACCGCGGTCCTCAGAGGGCTGGTCCAGGCCGGGAGCTCTGGGGACGGCCTTGAGTTGGACTGAGAGTGGAGTTCCAGGCCAGTGACCGGCTGTTCCAGGGACCATGTGCAGTTGGGCGGGGAGGAAGGGCCCGCCGAGGGCCGCGATGGTGGCCAGCCTCGGGGCGCGGCAGTTTCCCTTCACTGAAAATGCCCGGGGTGTCTTGTTCAGTGCATCTCTCACACCAGATGCTCCATGAAGCCTTCGGGACCTTAACTTATGGCCAGGTCCTCAGCCCTCGAAGGCGATGCCGAGGGAAACAGTTCTTCAGAAAGGGGACTGAGGCGTGGAACGCTGGCGGGACTCCTGGACCATCACCGTCAGGGACTGGTGACTCCGGTGTGGGTGCCCCGCGTCTCCCGGCCACCCTCGTACGACCAGCCTCACAAGCCGGGTACTGGCCTCTCAGCTCAGTCTGGTGGCGAGGTGACAGTGCGGAGCAAGAGGTGGCCCCATGGGACCAGGCGAAGGAGTCTGTGCCTCTCGGCGGCAGGACAGTGGGGCTCGAGGTTGTCTTGTGGAAGGAGGTTCCAGTCACGGAACGCTGCCAAGTGAGGCTGGACTCAGAAGCTTTTGCAGTGTTCTAGAACTACCGTGTTGGCGAAGGGAGCCTGGGGATGGCCATTAAGGTTCTGAACAAGCAGGTCAGGGGCGCCCTGTCTTCAGCTGAGGGTGTGAGCTGGGAGGACGGGGCCGCCCAGCCGTGAGGTATCTGAGAGTTCCATGTAATAGGGAGACGCTGCCCTTGTGCCCCTGGCTGCAGTGACACGGAGCGTGGCAACACGGAGCGTGAGTCGGCGCGGGTCCGGAGTGCAGGTGCGGAGCTGTGTTAGCGTCAGCCCGGACAGGCCTGTGCTCTGCAGACCAGCCCCTGATGGAACACCGCCCCGCTACGGTGGGCCTCTCCTTGTGCCTGGGTCCCATTTTCCATTTATGATATTTTGAAAGAAAGCTCAAGTGTAAATATTGTTAAAAAAAATGCAATTCAGGTGATTAAGTTTCACAAACGTTCTCAGATTCTCTGGGCTGCTTCTTCAGGTGGAAAAGACATTTTCTAATTAATGGTCTCTGAGAAACCAAACCGAAAACGTGTGCATTTTAACGGGTGTGGTTAGGCAGTGGGGCCCGCCG